CCCCACCAAATCAAGATTGACAGGGAACAACATTTGATATACTGTATCTCATTGTTACACCTTTTTCTAAACTCCTAATCTTTGCCATCCCATAGCCTTTTTCAAATTGGCATAGTTTTATAAAGGGATTTAATATGTTTCCATGGCACTAATCACATACTAACAGAGAGCTTGTTTCCTGTGTTTTTGTCTTGCTCTTATGACTGATCTGCAGGATCACACCTACAGCAATGACAGAAAATGCCCACGTGGAACTGTTACCACGAGGTGTTTTTTCAGCTGGTTTAGCAGCTGTGTGTGAGTAGGGGGAGCCAAACACAACATAACCTGCCAGCTCTCCCAGGCCCATTCACTGCTGCTGGAGAAAGCACTCAAAAGGCCAAGCAGTAGTTCTGCAAAATACTGGATGCCCACTAGTGTGTGTGAGGAGCTTGCAGTATGGATAATTCCACTTTTTTTTTTCCTATTTGACCTTATTTTTTTTCTCTTCTGGGCTTTTCTTCTTTCTTATTGCCAACTGCAAAGCCTCATAAATACTATTAATACTAAAACCTGAGACACAAGAAGGAAAGCTGGTGATTTCTGGTTGTGAAATGAGCTCACGAACAGGGGTAAGAGAGGACCACGAAAGCTTTGAGCTCTTTTATGACCTAAGGTGCTATGGCAACTTGGAAATTATTACTCTGAGTCATTGCAATGCTGTTGTTGGGTTTTATGGCCCTGGCTGCAACATGCTGCCCATTGCTGTAGAGCATGAAGGCTTTGCTGCATAATTTTCCTCTTTTATGCACAATATCAGCTTCACTGTCTTAAGACTATAACTAGAGAGCAAATGGTGCTCAGCAACAAGAGATTTTTTTGAATATGGTCTTCTGACTTATAGCAGGTACCAGCTCTCTCCTTTTTACCTGGTCAGTGGCCACTACCAGTGATCTACTGGCCAGCAATGTTGCAGTGCAGGGCAATATCTGAAAGATTAAGATATCTCCCCTGTGCTCCTCCAGGCTTCTGCAATCCTGCTTGCCCCATGATTTCACTTCGTCTTTGAACTTCACACTCTTTGCTTTTAAGGAAGGTTCTTAAGGCTAGAAAGGCTTTCCTTTGCTTCACTGGATAGTTGCTCCCACAGGCCAAAGATACTGAATGATGTATTTCCCTTCATGACTTCTGAAGGGGAATGGTCCTCATGGTCAAATGGGTCCCAGCTGGGGCTGTCAATACTTCCAGAACTCTTCTCAATTGGTATTGCATGAAAAAAGCCCTGTCCAGAAATGGAATTGCGTGGGAAAAATCAGAGAGTTTACCACATGTAGCTGAGTCCTGGGGATTAAGGAATAGCCCCAAGCATGTCACCCTACTTTCAATGGATGAGCAAAATTTTCACCTTCCCTGTAAGGTCACAGGACATTCAGCTGGTTGGTGGGAAATTTGTTTTGCACCAAAGTCTACTCCAGTCCTGAATGGCAAGGTCTGTGCTCAGCCTGAGAGATCACATCCTCAGTGGAAACACTGAGCTCCTAAGCACTTCCAAGCTGTTAATTCCTGATTCTTATTAACAAGAGCCAGCTCAAACATCTGAGAGTAGATCACAGCAACACCTTGCTCCTGGCAGCCAGCCCTGTGTGTTGCTCCATAGTACCTTATATAAAACTCAGACTGCAGGAGCAATGGATAACTTGTGAGTGCCAGGGACAGTCTCTCCCACTCCCTCCTGCCCCTTCACAAATGCTCTTTTCTTACCTAGAAAGCCCAATATAATTTCTACTATACCTTTCCTCCAACAGCTTCTCTTTAGTCCTCTGATCTGCACTGTAAGTTGAATAGAAGTTAATGTTTTCCCAGCTGGAAAAGGCCCCTTCTCTGCCTCCCTTATTGTTATGAGACCTCACAAATGTTCGCTGCTACCTCCAGGACTGGCCCCTTCTGTTGCTAATTAGGGAGCTAAGAGGTTCCCCCAGGCACTTCCCAGTGAAACCGAGCCCATTAAATGAATGGCAGGCAACATCTCTGGGGGCGGAGAGCTGTGTTACACAACAGCTGTTTGGAAACAGGCAGTTTGTTACGTGCGCTGGTTTTAAAGACACGACATCATTAAAAACAAAAGCAACTTTCAAGTCCAGACCAGCGTATTTAGGTCGCTGATACCCCAGGGATAATCTCGGGGATATTGGTGAAGGGAGCAGGCAGCAGGCACTGTGAGCTTGAGCTCAGGGCCTGGATGTGCACAACGTGATGGTCTCTGCATGTGCACCCGGCCACACACTGAAAGCCGGGTGTACAGG